GTGTTTTGCACAAGGGAAAATAAGTTAAACGTGCGCCCTAATTTGGCGATCACGGTTGATCACACTGTGTAATGCCGACTGAATCGGGGGATCCTGCTTCATGACATTTCTTAAATGCACACTTTTGTTTGGCGAACCCGGTTGATCACATATCTCATAGTATTTAGCGATTCCGGTACGTAGCACACCCACTCACTTGGCGATCATAGTTGATCACATGTCTTAAGCCCGCCGTTTCCTTTGGCGATGATACTGCCGGCATCCCGCGGCGTCGCGCGCCCGCGGCCTCCCGCGGCTCACGTGGATGCAGTCATTCTTTGCCAATAGACACCTGTCGTCTATTGCGGTTTAGGTGCGGCGGCAATTTCATCCACCGTGTCCCAACCAAAGCGACAGCACAGGGAAAGGGTCCATACGGTGACCACTGACATGTCCGCATGTTTAAATGTATGTAAGTAACTTGTAAACACGTTTTGCACACACACACACACACGAAGTAGGCCGCCTGCCGTGTTGGGGCTTTTTGGTAACTCGAGAAATCTTCAGATGCGATTTGAGTTTTTGTTTTAGGGCGTAGAGAAAACACCCTGACTGCCGCATTTAGGATTTTAAAAGTCGGTAGTATTCCAATGTACCCTTTATATAAAGGGGGGTTCTTGTGCATTGACCGTGTGGCAGAATGGCAAAGAAGGCACACTCGCAAGCTTCTTGGCGGATGTGCATGATTTCAAATCCTCTGAGCGGCCCTGGCTGCCGCAGCTAGGTTTTTTTCCCCTCCCAGCTCAGCCCAGCCCAGCCCACCCACCCCAACTGCTGCGGTTAGGCTTGTTTCGCTTCCCAACAACGTTTGCCCGCCCAGCTCCCAGCTCACCAACCAAAGCCCAGCCAGCCCAAAACAGCCTTAACTGCCGCAGGCCCAGCCCAGCCCCCGCCCCCAGCCCAGTGCCCGCCCAGCCCAAAACAGCCTGACTGCCGCCGTTAAAAACAAATGCGCGGCGCTGGGATCGAACCCGCAGACTTTGACTCAAGAGCAGAAACACTTCCAGTTGGCTAGACGTTCCGTGTCCAAGCGGCATCAGTTCATTTCATTTGTTGTATCAGTGCTTTGGAACAGTTTAAAACCTGACTGCGTCAGCTAGGGCATTTTCCCTACTGCCACTATATTCCACGAATTCACTAAACTCTTAATCCCGTTGCAAATCCCTCGTACGTCCTTCTCCTGCATGATGTCGTTGTCGTGGTCGTGGAAGAAGGCGTCCAGGATGTGTGTGTGTGTGTATGTGTATGTGTGTGTGTGGACGACCTCTTCGACGGGTTTAAGCGTTAAGGTTTCCGTAAATGTAAAAAACGGGCGGCCGCGCCGGACCCCTCACAGATATAGTATAAAATACTTGTTTTTATTTATTTACGTGTCCCCATATTTGAAAACAGTCACCGTAGAAAATGGGCGCAGACGTTTGATGATATTACCAACCATCAATAATCCGACATGCACCAAAACTTGTCGTTTTGCGAAGCCATGTTTTAAAGCTTGGATGTCTGCGGGTAGCTTTTTAGCGCTATGGCAGCGATGTCGCCTAAGTCGCCAAAGCGAGTGTGCTCGCAAAGCCACCTCGAGGAGCACGATGGCCTTCGCAAGACCGTCTCCTTTGCCACACGCCGGTTTGATCCCAGCGGACTGCCTGCTGACATGCTCAGGGTCTACACATCTTTGAAGGAGAGGTTCGACGAAGAGTATGCCCTGTTGTTTGTTTTCAATATGCAAACAGCCATGGAGATGCACCGTGCGTGGAACATGACGCTCCTGACGTCCAAGACACTGAAGAAATGCTCTGAAATGGTTGGGCTCACGATGACCTGGGAGCTCGGCGTGATCAAGCTGAAGTTTTTCATGGAGGATGGCGATTTTGAGCTACAGCGAAAGGTGCCCTACGATTACGATTCTGAGTTCCAAGACATGTTCATGAGGATAGCTTCAGCTCTTTACAACGGGCACATGACTGTCCACGAGGCTTTGCTCTTCCAGGAGGAGGCGAAGCAAGGGAAACATACGGCCAAGACAGGTTTGTTCATCCGTGACTACCCTGGCAGATTGATCGTTTTGCCAGCCATGTCCAGCACCTGCGCGGTGATCTTCTTTGGAGGATCTGCCTTGTGTGGTCTGGTTACGGGTTTGATCGAGTACGGTCTGCTGAGAGTCGGGGGCGACGCCACGTTGTTGATCGATCTCGCTGTGGGGCTCTGCACCGGCTTCATTGGCAGTTTGTTCTACCAAGCAGACGAATCCTACTGCCTCGTTTCCATCTTCATGGGGACCTTGTACTGGTTCTTCTATGGCACGGCCTTTGTCGTCGGGCTGGTGGAGATCTTGGCTGGGGAACTCGAGACGGGTGTGACCCGCTTCATGGCCGTCAGCATCAAGACCTTCGTCCTCTGTGTCATGGCTTGTTTCGGGATGCTTCTAGCAGTCCCAAATCCTGGCCAGGTGTGGGAGGCGCAGTCTCAGAATTGTGGCGTCATTAACCTGGCCGACCAGTGGTGGCGCGTCCCTTTGTACTTGGCCTAGCTGTCCTGGGACAGTACCGCTTTCGCTTGGAGCAATGCTGGCGCGGCTTACTCGTACAGCTTGCAGGCTACGAGGTCCAGTTTCAGGTTACCCAGTTCTTCCAGCATCAACGCGAACGCCTTGCCAGCAGCGACCTGACACCCATCGTCAAAGACAACTTCGACGTCATGGCTTCGAACGTTTGTGGTGCTGCAGCTAGTGTCGTTACGGCTTGCACGCTGTCGGCCATCATGGATTTTATCAACTCAATCTACTATGCCCAGCTCCTCCAGCGCGGGGCGCACAGGGACGAGACGGACTCCAAACTGGACGACATCTTGTTCGGCTGCATCTCGGTGATGGTCAAGTGTTTTAATTGCATCGGGATTGGCCGGAAGCACGACAAAGACATGGTTGATCTCGAGAAGAAGATCTACCAGCATTCAAAGGAGCTCAGGGATCCCTCGCACCCCCGTAGTGAAATCAAGCTGGAGCCTCACGAGGAGGATTTGTTGCTGGACACGATCGTTTACGCCGAGTCGATGAACATCTGGTCTATGTTGATGCCGGCAGTCTACCAGCTAGTGCCTGGTTCGATGATCGCCAGGATGTGGTTCAACACCATCATCCCGCCTAGTGATACTTCAGTTGACGACAACACCTTTGCTGGCCTCATGGTCACGTCGATCTCGCTTGCGCTGGGCCTGATCATCGGTGAGGCCATTGTTGAGCTATTCACCGGCATCGCGAACCTCCTGTTCAAGTCGCGGAGCAAGAATCAAGAGTCCAAGACTCTGAAGCCAAGTGACCGTAGCCAGTTGACCACCAGTGCCACGGCTGCGGACGAGACAATTTCTCAAGACAGTTTGTTTCGGCTCTAAGTCTGTCCTTTAGTTCTCTAGAGGATGAGTCATGGCGAGGAATGGAGCTGCAAAGCGCAGCCTCGACACATCTCGACACCTTGTAGGAACCTGACAACTGTCAGGCTAGACATGGACTGGGTTTTGACGAGTCGGCAAAGCCGCGGATTCAAAGGCTGCACCAGGGCATTCAAAGCTCCCGGCCGTCCGGACGGTGTTTTCTTGTGTCCAAGTCTATGATTCCGATTTGCACGCTGCCGTTCCTGGCTTATCAGCTGAATTTCCTAGAAGTGTACGAGCTCCGACAAAATGCTAGCATTGAGCCGTGTCACGGACACACGGCGCATGACAAATTCCGAGGCAGTCCAGGCCAAACAGTCAAACAGAGCAATATGACGCAGAAGCACGTCTTGTGAACTGCCATGAGCGCCAAGCGGCCGGTAATATGCGATACAGGAACTGGCGTGATCAAGGTGCTTGTGTGCTTCGGATTTCATGTTCGCGACGTCCTTTATGTCTCCATGTCACATCCGCCGCCAAAGAGTTCAAAGAGTACATGTCCAGATAGTGAGCAATTTGTGTTGAAAGACTGAAGGCAGGGTTTGCCGGGGAGCCGGAACCGTAGCAGACTCAGCGCAGCATGTTTTGCTGGAGCTAATTTTGCTGAAGCTTCGGCAGAAAGGTCTGTGGTGCTGCCCAACCTGTTGGGCCGCCCCATGCTACGAGCTGACAGTGGAATCGGCTCGTGCCAGGCATGGCCAGCAGAGAATTTCTTTGTGTTGTTGCGTGCTGCGTGCTTCATTGAGCAGGCCACGTCATTTCAGAAAATCCTTGCTTTTTGCTTTCCGTCACAACGCATTCAGGTGGATGATATCATGGTCGGTGACGAGGCCAATGCAGCCAGGCGGGCTTGCTAAGAAACCAATCAAAACGAACGGCAGGGCCGCAACAAAACTAAATGTCCCTCGCCAAGGTCATTGCTGCAACTGACACGCCCGATTCAGAATGGTGTCGTCAAAGATTGGGAAGGAATGGAGGCAACCAGTCAAGCGCGTCGTTGGGTGGGCCCGCTTCAGAGCATGATCATGGCGAGTTCACCGCGAGGACATCTCCTGAGCCCGTCGAGCGTAGCCGAGTCAGATACATGCGCACATTGGATGCCTAGTTGCAGCTGGGCAGGCTGTTTGGGACTACACCTTCCACAAGCTAGGAGTGAATCCAGTCGAGCACAAGGCCTTTCGTGTCATGTCGTGTATGCTGTTTCCCACTTAGTGTGAACCTGGTGGGTCGGGAGAGAGCGCACCATCATTCTTAGCCGCATATATAGGGAGGGGTTTGGAGTGCAGTGCATCTGAGGCGGTTGTTCTTGCGTGTTGTGATGTCGTATATAGTATGAACTTTCCGTGCCGGGGTTGTAGCGTCACTTGGGTTGCTGGATGCTGCTTGTGCCGAAGAAAGTGTCAAAGCAAAGTGCTGCTTTGTCCCGAGTTGGAGGTTCTTCAAACCGAAGCAGCCTTAAACCCACCGCGGAATCGGGAACGCATGGTCCGGAGTCCAAGCTGGTTCCGGCACGGGCAATTCTGAAAAGTGAATAGGAGCATCTTACATCACACCAGAGCAGCTTGCGATTTTACCAAGAAGGTAAAGGCACACTACCATTCAATGTCACTCAGCTGACCTGGTTGAGATCAGATCTGATATGGAGTCGGAGATAGGAACTGTGCTTCAAGGTCGAGATCATGTTTGAACGCTATGGCTTCACTGCGGTGAATGTATCAGTCCAGGCTGGAGCGGAGAGGGCGTGTCGTGAGGACTCCGAGTGAGATTTGGGAGGCCATCCTGGCTTTGAATTCTCGTGGACTGGACTCTGGCTTTGTTGTCGGCGCTCTCAGAGGGCTCGGACTCCTGGGCCGACTCGCTCCGCAGCCTTCAGATGCCTTCAGGTCGACTCGGGCGATGGTGTAACACACCTCGTCCCCATCTGCGAGGGCTACCTAGAGCCCGCATTGGTGCAAAGGGTGCGGGACTTGCGTCGGACAGAATTGTACGTACACTTCGCAGCGTGATTGAGGTGAATTTAGCTGGCAGACACGTGACCGAACAGCTGATGAAGCTTCTCGTAGGCCTCTTCTGTTCTCATTCCTTACTTGGATTCGCAGGGTTTGATTGGTGATGTCATTCTGCTGCCCTGCAGGGCAAGGTCATCCATTGAATTCAACTGCGGACTTTGAAACTGTGCGTGAGGCCAGCATGCCCACGTGCGAGCAACAGAGTCCCATCATCAGATGTCCTACTGCGGAAGGTCAAGCAGAAGTTGTGCTATGTTGCATACGATCCAGAGGCGGAGAGGAGACTGGCACGGGGGCCCAGTGTGCTCAGAGCCGGCCTTTGGTCCTGCTGTCCCGACTGTGTCCGGTGTGATTGGGCTCGGGCTTGGGCTTCGGCCAGAATGGTAAACTTAGAGTTACAGCGTAGCACGTGAAATCAAGAATCAAGTTTCGCTCTGCAACGATTGCCTTGTTTGGAAGTTTCGTCGAGGCACGCGAGACAACCTTGGTGGACAGACAGCACCCTTGCTGGACCTCTACAGGATATTTCGCCACGGCAATTTCAGGGTCAAGCAAACGAGGCTAGGAGATTTGATCGTGACTGAAGTGTTGCGGACTGGCCGAGACCTGCGTGTTACTAAGTCAGAAGCGAGGACAAGGTAGCGTCACTCGAAAGTATACGATGCGATTTGTGGCAACGATCCAATTTTTGTGCAAGCCAGCTGCACTTGTAGGATGCCCCTGGCAATAGCTTGTGTCTAGTCTTACTCCCGGTCTCTCTCTTTCACTTGCTCGCTTTCTCTTTTGCCCATCCCCCCTGAACACGGTGGGCTCTGACTTGCTGTGCTGGGAACCTCTCACCACCATTGGCATATCCCAAGTTATTAGCGAGGATCCGTAAGAGTTTAAGCTGATGAAGGGCTTAGTCTATGTTGTAAGGTATGTTCTTCCTGACAGTCGAACCATGCGGGTTGGTGCCGAGCGTTTCCTGGCACCGGAGATCCTGCAGCAGTCTCAGAAAGCGCGGTTAGCGGTTAGGGCAAGGGTTGTTATGGAGACTGTGTTGTCTGAGATGTGCTTGTGGTGAGCGTGTTCCCCAGATTCACTCCCGCTCTGGGTGGCTACGGCGACGGCGATGGCCTGGCCGACTTGGTTGCCGCCTTGGCTGCTCCCTTATCCGGTTGCCAGAGAGTCGAAGCCAATCAAGTATTCAGGTCTTCAACACGATACGCAAGTCTGACATCCATGTCCAGAAGGATCCGACTGTCCTGTGTCCTCCTTTTGCAAAACATTCCACGGTGTTTGGCTTGTTTCATGTTGTTGCTGCTTTCGTTATCGTACCACATGGCTTCGCCATTGCAGCGCTTTGCGTTTTCTAAATTTTTCGGCGTATCCTGCCCTTTTCAAGCGATGCTTTGCCACCTGGACATGTAGATCTGAATTGTTTCGTCACTGATCGTTCGAGCACCTTGTACAGCGGTGTTGCAGCCTTGTTGCATCCTTGTTTGGGGTACACGTCAGCTCTTGCGCCGAGCTGCGCAAGTGCTGATTGCTTGTCTGCATGGACAAGGCAGCAGCGATCGATCTGGCGCTCACGATTCTTTAGTTGTTCATAGACACAGTGGATTGCCTCCTGCATCGCGGATGAACCCTGTGCAGCTTTTGCGAGACACGTTGGCAAGCTTCGATGCCAGGCTCGGTTCCTGATGTTAGTGGCCAGAGGTGCTCCTTGACGTTTAGGTGCCGTCGAGAACATTTTCGCACCTGGCCGTTTCCTTTGTAGGCTGCGGTCATGGATTTTCGAAGCTGCAGTGCCACCACTGGACCACCGCCGTCAACGTCGCCAACACGAACATCACGACGATGACAACTGCAAGAGCAATAAGGACAGCAACGACGACGAAGAACACCCCAGAACAGCTGCAACAGCAACAACACCAACCGCGACGACAACAGCGACGTTGCGATGCTTCGTCGCTCTTATTGCTCTGACTGTCTCATTTCGAACTTGCTGCTTCAGGTCTCCTGACTTGTGCGCCTTCTGCTACTCCCATTTCCAATCTCGTGGCATTCAGAGGTGAATTTGCAGCCTCATCAACGATTACATGTTACAAAGAAGGTCGTTGTTCGCGCAAGGGTTCGAGACCGGGAAGAGCATAGCTGCCATGGCTCAAAACGACCGCGGAGGTGTTGGTGGTTGGATGGGCTGGGGCTGGGCTGCGAAGGTGCAGCTCGTTTGTTGTGGCCTCGTTGGGCTGGAGTTTGGCTAATGCTGGGCTGGGCAGGGGGTTCGTACAGTGACAGTGCCTGGTCAGAAGACGGCAGACATGGTTTGTGCAGCTGCTGTCGCTAGGCTGCGCGATTCGTGGCATCTTTGCAGGGGGTGTTGAACCGTGCTAGTTTTCTTCCCCCAAATTGGCAGTGTGCGTATTCCGCAACTTGGTGTTGATTAGAAACGTAGCTCTCCCTTCGCGACTGCTGCAGCAACGCCTTTGCGAGCTAGCAGCGATTTTTGCATGTATCTTGCTTGTTGTGATAGAAGATTATTGCATTTTTTTGGATGTTGTCCAAGTTCCCCTCCAGTTGACGTCTTGGTCTTTGAACAAGCGTACAAGTTGGCGTCACCAAACCATGAGCCCAAATCGTCCATGGCGACCGAAAAGAGCTAGGAGTGCGAAAGTGCGAAAGGAGGAGCAGGAAGCAGGGTTGGTATGCGGAAAGCACAGGGTTGAGTTGAGGCAAGAAGAGACTGGTCCAGTAACGCAAGTGGAAGAAGCGATGGAACTGGCTTTACAACCCAATGGACAGAATCGGAAACAAGGCAGCACGGGGCTTGTCGGGTCTGCCCCGAGAGTTTCGACACCTCTGGCCTAACAGCGGCCATTTTAGGTGCTTCATGATATTATTCTTGCAGTTGATGTTCGGATGTCGTAGAGCCTACCGCAGGGCTGCAAAGCTTTCTCATGCGTTATGCTCCGCCACGCCACGACCAGCAGACGACCAGAGTCTTTGCCTTTCCACTCGCCGCGCTTGGAGAGGCCGGGGTTCAAGACGACCTTCTGGGCCGGGCCGCCCCCCCCCTCGCCGCGCATCTTGCTTGCCTTGGGCCCAGCAGCCCGTTGCGTCTTTCAAGCTGCATGGGCTCTGTCCGACAGCAATGGTCACAGGTTTTGGGACCAACGTCGTTTGAAACACGTTTTTGTGCATGAATGGGGCTTATCACGTGATCCCAACCTGCGGCTCCAGCGGCCACGGTGGCTCAACGATGCGACAATCTACGTCTGCGCCCGGGAGTAAAAGAAAAAGCACGCATCCCCGCGCCTGCAGTGTTGAAGCGTCTCCTTGAGCCGGCGCCACGCGCCGGCCCGGGGCCCGCTTGGCCAATATTTTGGTTCCGGACGGCTTCGGGCCTGCGTTGTCTTCTTCCGAATCTGAACAGGAAGGCTCAAGAAGGGTTTTTGTATTTGTTGATAGCGTCGCTTGCCCTTGAGGACTACTTTCAGCAGATTGTGCTTTCCGGCGGAACAACGATGTTCCCTGGAATGTCGTCACGCTTGGAGAAGGTCCCTGGAGCTGCGCATAGTTCGGAGCTGTGCTTGTTTGAGTTTGGTGCAATCAATTGTCAAGGATCTGAGAGCTTTGTACTTGCAGAACGTCCTTGGCGGCGACACCTCGCGTGCCTCCAAGTTTAAAGTGCACGTGGAGGCCTCCGCACGACCACATCGCGCCAGGTAAGGGTGACTGAGCAAGCCGTGGCAGGATCCTCCCGATCGCCGGCATATGGTCTTCTTGGGTGCGTCGATCATGGCGGATATCCATGAGCAGGAGGTAAGTAAGGCTTTTCACACGCAAATCGTCAACCCGTACACGGAACTCTCAGGCAAATCCGAGGTACTGGATCACGCGCGAGGAGTACCAGGAGACTGGTGCTAGACACCCCGGCAGGATTGAAGAAAGCTTTAGATGGGAAGTGTGGGAGGAGGAAGACTTGACTTGACAGGTGCCGTCCAGCGATTGATTCCCACGAAGTTAGCTTGAGCAGCAGAGGCTCCGCTCAAGAAAAGGCGGTGCAAGCCTGCGGCAGTGGCGATTGGTTGTTGAGTCTTGAGCCTTGATTGACATGAGAAGATGCAATCTTCGTGCTGCATGATTCTTACTTCCCTATCATTATCTCAAACCCAGTGGCTGCGGGCCCTCCCTCCTTGCACTCGGGGGCGAGGGCGGTGAGGGGGACCCTGAGCTGTTGAGCTGGCGGAGTTTGAGGACTGCACGGCTTTTCCATGTGATATCCATGACTCGCAAGTGTTTTGCCCGATCTCGTCCGCGGGTGAGAGAGCAGCGGAAGCCTTGTTTTTTGGGGCCTTTCACAGGGCCTACTTCTGTGCTGCTGTAACTGAAGTTGCCCTGCAAGGAGACGGGAACTGAGGTCATCTGCAAGCAGCCATGACAGCGGCAGTTGCAGAATCATCGGCCCGGATCCTTGCTATTGTGGGTTTCCCATAATAGAATGATGACCATGAACATGTAGGCTTCCGTGCCGGCGCTGACCGGTATTAGGGATGCATGGTAGCCAAAATCCTTTCGGACGGCTGATAAGGCTACCACACAGATCTGCCTGCAGTGGGGCTGTCATATTTCTGGATGATGACATTTCAAGGCATAGCTGTGGTAGCTGTGACGACACATTGGACATGCACTACCTCAGTGAACGTCAAGAATGTGTGGGTTGCAGAAGCTACAGTAGGCCATCTGAGCGAGACTTCTGCCCTGTTGTATTTGTGCAGCGTCCTTCCGATGGCTTTCGTTTCCCATGTGAGGGGGATCGTCTGTCGCTTTCGCTCAGACTCAGGTGGATGCGCCGGTGGCTCAGCGATGCGGTTTCTTCGAGCTTTTGCTTTGTAGCTCCCGAGGCTGGGATCCCGAGAAAGAACTCCAGTGACTTTGGCTGTCAGGACCCTTGCAATCCTTGCTGCTCCCACATAGGATCCGTCTCGCAGTCCTTGCAAAGCTCGTGGGTCCGAGTGTGTGTGTGGCTCTTGCAGGAAGTCTTTAAAGAGAACACATGACCTTTTCGCGGGGAACGAGGAGTTGAAGCGAGTGGAGGTGGGGCCTGGTTTCTCTGTGTGCGAGTGCACTCGCTCCTGAAGAGGATTCTCGGGGTACAGCGGCTTTGCTACGGCTCAAGATGAATGACGAGTGCCTTCCGTGTGCGTTGCTGCAAGATGCTTGAGACTACCGACGCCTTAGGTCCTTGCTGGCAGCATCTCCCGGTCATGGAATCCTCCAGGATTGTTGTTTTTCTCGCTCGTCGTACTTGAGCCCTTACCTGCTTTTGCTGGCCCTCTTCACCGCCACCCGTGCTGTCGCATGCGACTTCGTGCCGACACATTTTGCACATGGAAGTGGTTGAGGTCAGTTGAGATCATCAAGCCAGTAGAATGTGAATGATGCCATGATGTGTGCTGAGCATCGGTCAGACAATGCCTTAAAACTAGTAACTAGTACGTAGGAAGGCTTGCGGCTGCTTCAAAAGCGGTATCTGGTGGCGCCCACGGAAGATCCCTGTGCAGGTTTGTTGCTCTCACGATCCAAACCGAAGGTTCACTTTTGAATGTCGAAAATGCATCCATACTCCAGCCACGGCAGGCTTGACTGCCGAACCGAGCGGACCTTGCTGCAGAAGCATGTGACGACTGCGGTAGCTTTTTGTGAGTGAAACATTGTACACAGAAACGCGTGGGCAAGTGATAAGTTGGCCAGGTGAGAGAAAAGCCGTATCATTCAACGGTTTTTCCTTCCAAAGACAAGCCAATAGACACCAAAAAAGACCGCAGTAATAATAATAATGATGTGTGTGTGTGTGTGTTGTAAGAAATCTCCACCGAGAAACGTTGTCAGCTGTCTCAGCCGCATTGCATGAGTTCTTGGGAGTGAGAGGTACCAGCACATTCGGGACGTACCCGAGCAAGTCACGGACGAGACTGTGACAGCGTTGGTGCCTCAGACTTTGTAATGCACAAGCGAGGAACAGGAAGTACAGCTTGTCGTGGCTCCAGTCTCCCGTTCCTGCGGGCGGGGACCGACGATGCCACCCAGGAGGCAGTTGGGAGTTGGTGGGTACACTTGTTTATGCTCAGCATGAAGCTCTCGAGCTGGTCTGAAGAAAGGCGTTGCCATCGGCGATTACGCAAATGATCACGGCCAATCCGGCTTTCTTGTGGCCTCCTTTCTGCGAGAGATACATTCGAGTGCGTCCCGACTTTTCTGATGCCAGGATGGTGAGGAAAAATCCGGGCACGGCCCAGCAGTGGGGCCAGCGCGACGGGCATGTTTCACATCGCGTCAGTCCTCGCCTCCTCTTTTGATTGGCACATGCAGGTTGTGCCTATAGCGCCGAAGGCTCCTGTGGACCCATCCACACAGATACAGGCAAGGCTCGCTGCATTATCGTGGGTCCATGTGCATTGATTGACTTGGTATGTGTACCGTCAGGTAAGGCCTCTGCGCGAACGTCCAGAGATTCCGAAGCCCGTATGGCATCCTCCGTGGAAGCTGATGAGAGTGATGCGCGATGCTCAATTCGGGTCCAAAATGGTTCCGACCAACCATCAACAGCGGCCGCTTCCACCCGAAGGTCGAAGCGAAAAGATGAAGTGGTATGCTGCCATTGCACTCACAGCGAACGGAAGAGGTGACAGGTAAACCCGTCATCACAAAGAATGGATGCCGCTTTGGGGCAGAGCAGCGTGCCATCTGCGAAACCTGCCCAGTCCAAACGGCCCATGGCCTTTCATGAATCCTGTTGTCGGCGAACCTTGTTGCCGGCGTGGATGAACAAGTGTTGATCTGTGCCAGATGTGCCATATTAGAAAGTGCTGCTTTGACTCCATGGCGTCGGCCGCTGAACCAAAGCTAAATCGCGAGCAACTCCTTGCAAGAAGCCGACCATTGCAGCCCAGCTTCATTCCTGCATGTCAGCCTGCACGCGGCAACATGTGGTTCTAACTTGGGCACGGAGTTAGAACCAACTGCCGCCAACGTACACCACCGCAACCCTGCACCACCCGGCCCGTACCAGTCCGTAGACCGCCCCGTTCCGTGCCAAACAACCCGCACCGCCCTTGTGCCGCCCGTATCGTCCCGCACCGCCCCGTACCGCTTGTACTGCCCCGTACCCCGTACAGCCTGCACTGCCACCGCCCCGCACCGCGTCCGCACCACCCCGTACTGCACCATATACTGCCCCGTGCCGCTTCGTATACCGCCCATGCCGCCCCGTGCCGTGCCGTACAGCCCCGTGCCGTGCCATACCGCCCGGTACCGCCCCGTACAGGGCGGTACGGGGCGGTACGGCACCTAACTTTCCCGCTGTGGGTAGCTGCAAAAATTATTTCAAATATCTGGAATTAGCTCCAAATCCGGTCAAACCCAGCTGTTGAAGCAGTGTGGTTCTAACTTCCCTTGGCTTCGCGACGTTTCCGGTTGCAACTTGCTCCGGGGAAAGCGGCGCTCGAGAGAGCAAACCGACGCTCGGGCGAAATTTCGGCGACAAGGGCGGTTCCAACTTGCCGTAGGAGAGTAGGCCCCATGACAGCTGCCCCCGCCGATCATCTCGAACACGATCTCGTAGCCAGGAAGAAAGTTGCTTGATATGACGACAGCAGAGTCTTCTGGAATGCCAAGCTAATCCCGATCCAGAAAGCAGAACCCCTCAACTCCGCTCAGAGCGGCACTCAGCTACTCACGCATTCACGTAAGGGAGCCCGGCTGTTTCTTTCAACATCTTTCCACTCGATGCTCTGGTCACCTACATAAATGAGGAAGTGCACGACATATATATATATATGCGCACACACACACATATATATATATATGGCTTTAGGTCGGTTCGCGTGCCCAGCGTTGTTGGGCTTTTCACGACTGGCAGGTATGGTCCTCATGACGCACCGCGTGTACTATGCCTTCCAGCGGCGTTCTTGAATGAGAACCAAAACCAAAAAAACCAAAAAACCAATACCAAAAAAACAATATTTCGGAACTCCTTGCCATTATGCGCACTTATGAAAGAGTTCTGGAATATTGATTATTTTGTTTTTTTTGGTATTGGCTTTTTTTGTCTTTTTTAGTATTGTTTTTTCCGGTTTTGTTTTTTTGTTTTTTTTGGTATTGGTTTCTTAGGTTCTTATTTAGAACTGGGTCGTTTACTGGTACTGATATATCTTGTCTCATGCCTCTGCTGGAGCTGCCTGGATCGAGTCCAATATTGCTGATACTATGGCTTTCCCACAGAATCGCACTCCCTTGGACATCCTGCTTAACATCCGCGATTGCTTGAGTCGACTCTTTTCTCATACGTATGCATAGGTGTTTGAAACCATATCCACATGTGCGTGTTTGTTATGTTCCAACTTGTCATGTTGTCCTATCAGAAGCAGTGGAAGCAGCGGCCAATGCAGTTCCAAGCGATTCCTGGATTGCTTCCTTCCAAGAAACTATGAGCAGATGGTTTCAATTGCAGATGAGTCAGGGCTTTGACAGTGCTTTATTTCAGGAGCTATTTGGAAAGCCTTCTGCTTGCAGAGTCTCCATCAAGAAGCCTGCTGCTTCTTACCATATTATGAAGAAACCTTCTTCTCGTACCTTCATCCTCATCAACATCACTCAATAAGCCCAAGAAGATGCACTTGAAATATGCTGGTAATGCACGCATTTTCATAGCAGATGAGACGCATTTGAACAAAAAAAGCAAGGTGCTCTTTCACATTCCGGGCGCCCTCAACGTGATCAAATATGGCTGTGGGGTGCAGTACTCCACGGACACGTCAACACACATTTTGTTTTTCGCATTCTGAAGAACGCAGCAAATGCACATGATGGAACACCACGGGGCACCAGGAGATGAAAACAAACCTTTCCATGTTGGGAATGAAAAGTGGAGATATTTTTGTGAGCGACAAATGGAAGGCTACTCTATCTGCTCTCAAAACCCATCGCGGACTGCATGGACTATCGGAGAAGACTCTTCGTCATGAGATTGTCAATCACTCCCAGGGCGAGATCGTAAACCAGAATGGGTTCAGCACCAATGCCATCGAATGCAAATGGTCTCTTATTAAGAGATGGATCCGGACAAGGATATCAGGTACTTTACCACGACACAATGATCGCGAAAAATGTCGTCTACTTATCGATGAATATCAAGCACGTTCGCTACTGAAGGGCCGCTCATCCCACACGCTCGATCGTGGCAACATGATCGTTACTTTTCCGTGTAGCGTAAAGTGTTCAGATATTCTGTTTATGTGTCCGCAGCCGGAAAAGCCTCAAAAACCCTGGGGTCGTGAAAAGCCCAAAAACACTGACACATGATCCGGCTTAGAACCATATATATATATATATACATATATACATGTATACATATATACATATATGCATAT